TGGTTAGAATATGGTACTGCAGGCTACTTCTGCTGACTGCTGGCTGCCTGCAGTGTGGCAGTTCGATCCTGACCAGCTCAAGGTTGACTCAGCCTTCCATCCTTCCAAGGTTGGTAAAATGAGGACCCATATAATTGGAGGCAATATGCTGTCTTTGTAAAACTACTAAGAGCTGTAAAGCACTGTGAAGTGGTGTATAAGTCTAAATGCTGTTGCTATTGCTATTAACAGAGTTTATCTCATTTATATCTTACTATGGTAAGATAGTATCTCATTTATATCTTACTATGGTACTAGCCATGGGACAGTACAAAAAAGTGATGGTGGAATATGACCAGTGGTGGGATTCAGTCAATTTGCACCAGTTTGGCTGAACCAGTAACTAATGTTTTGTGCAGTTCAGCAAACCGGCTGAAAATAAAGTGCAAGAGAGGGATTTTTTCCCTTCTCTCTTCCTTCGGTTAATAGCTCTGGGCAGACAGCCAAGAACCACTTAACAGGCAAATACTTAGTTGTGCAACAAAACTGCAGGAATGCAGCCAGCACACACTTTGAATAAACAATAGAAACTGACAGAATCAGGAAACCAGGAAACCCATTAATAACCCATCTAGGAATGGATTAACCTCTTCCCTTCAGGAAGAAGGACAATATTACAAACATTATTATTATAAAGGGTATTCAGTAAAACTTCTGTGATCAGCTGATACTCCCTGGAGTTCCCCAAGACCTTTTATAGACAATTGGTCTTTTTTTGACTGACTCTAAGACTATTCTCTCTTACCCAAGCATTGTCCATATCTAGTCGTTCATGTTTATCTATCTATTTAAGTATCTTTCCCAATTTTCTTAGTAAAGAAATGAAGCTGCTAGTAAAGTCACTAAAATATTTAAAAAAATAAAATGCAATTTATTTAGGACATTCATTAATGCAAGACAGCATTAAACATTCAGTTTAACAAAGATAAAACATGAACAGGTGATACAGATAGATACATGGAAATAATTCATTATCTGCTTCTACTGATAATTGTTCTGGGTACCTACATCCATAGTGTTCCTCTTCAAGGAAACGGAATCTTCAAAACATCTAGAAAACACTGTAGTCTTCGGAAAACAAAGAACTTGCCTTAATCCATCTTCTTTCACATTGTGTCTCCACTGAAAAATGTCTTCTTCCAAGCCATCTAGAGCAATAATTTCCAAAAGATGATTTCCCAACTCAGGATCATACTGAATATTTTGGTCAGGGGTCAAACCTTGCTCATGGAGTTGATTCCATGGAAAAGTTTTAACCTTTGAATTTTTCTTTGCTTTCCCTGATGTCATACTGTAGAGAAGGAAATGATCCCCAGAATATCCTTTACTGTTTTTCCAGTAGAGTCTGTATCTGAAGAAAAGCTCCTGATTGAGAACTTGGGGACCAGCAATCCGTTAACATAGACCATACTTAGGGTGCACCAGTGTTTTGTTTATGTGTTTTGCATTAGGTGATGTCTTACCATTAAAAAAAAAAAGATTTGATTATCTACCTACCTATCTACCTACATACCTACTTATCACAACATTTTGGTGAAATCTAAATAAAATGCAACCTTCTGTATCTCACTGAATATTGTCCATTGATTGGATTTTGCACAAATTCTATCTGAGAACATATTCTAATACGGCAAAACCAGAGGTGAGTTTCAGCAGGTTCTGACCAGTTATGGAGAACTGGTAGTGGATATTTTGAGTAGTTCGGAGAACCAGTAAATACCACCTCTGACTGGCCCCGCCCCCATCTATTCTCTGCCTCCCAAGTCCCAGCTGATTGGGAGGAAATGGAGATTTTGCATAACCTTCCCCTGGAATGGGGAGGGAATGGAGATTCTACAGTATTCTTCCCCTGCCACACCCACCAAGCCACACCCACAGAACCGGTAGTAAAAAAATTTGAAACCCACCACTGGTCAAAACTTTCTTTTTCTGTCATGCACATATCAGTCTAAAATCTTAATTAGGTGAGCCGAGCACAGTGGTTAGAGTGCAGTACTGCAGGCTACTTCAGCTGACTGCTAGCAGCAGTTCAGGAGTTCAGATCTCACCAGCTCAGGGTTGCCTTCCATCCTTCCAAGGTGGGTAAAATGAGGACCCAGATTGTTGGGGGCAATATGCTGACTCTGAAAACTGCTTAAGAGAGGTCTGTAAAAGCACTGCTACTGCTGTTATTTAAGTAGATGAAATATTAGATGCACATTCCAAGACAATTTATAATTATTATAATAGAGAGGATCAATATGCAGTTTTAGATGACATTTAAAATGTTTTATTTTATTATTAAGTTTATATGCTGCTCATCTGTAAAAGATTCTGGGAAGTTCACAACAATTGAAGAACATGGTAAAGAACTGCCCATATGTTCAGGAGTGAATCAAATATTTCTTTATTTTTTTTAAAGAAGGAGCTAAATCTGTATCTACCAGGTTCTTGAACCTAAATAAGTGGTACAGTTTGTTAACTGCCATTAATAATGTATTAGTTTTCTTCCTCCATTTTCACATTTTTGAATACCTTTAAATGCCTCCCTCATTTCTTACTTTTAATATTTCAAATTACTCAAATAAATAAATGCAGGTTTGTGGGGAGGGTGGGGAGGTTTTCTTTTTGAGATAATTCCCACAATTCTGAATTTAAAGTGTTTGTAGTTGAATTTAGTCATCTCATCACAAAGTAACACTTCTTTGTGTTTATAGCCTGAATGTTCTAAGTTGTTGCATTAAAAAAAAAACCTTCTAACCATGATATGCTGAGTCCCAACCCTCCCTTTTCATTATCTTACAAACTTAACTGCATTATCTTCCATCTTTTAGTTTTTCTGTTTTCCTCAGATCAATTTCTTCTTGACGTGGCAGCCCCAATGGATTCATAGAATTAGAAGCTTTTTAAACCATAGAGTTAATATTTCTAAATTGTGATGCATCAAAAATAAATGATTTCCTAAGTGGTTTTTTTTTAAAGATTGGGAGCAAAAAAGAAAAAGCAAGAAAAGAATGACTTAGTTTAAGAATCCCAAGAAAGACATAAACCCCAAATAAATCTTTAAAAATTACTGATGGATGGGCTTTCAATTAAAAAGAAATATGCAGTTTGTGAGGATGATTGAAAATGCCAAATTTGCTGTAAATGCTGAACAGTGGTCTATTTTCCCTTCAGGTGCATGCCTAGCAGCCATTAAACGTAAAGGGATTAAATTCCTAGGATGAAAGAAATGTTGCATCTATTGTGCTTACAAAACCTGCAGTGGTTCTTTCTGGAAAATTATGACTGTGCTTATAAACCCACAGTGACTCTTTCGGCACAATGATGTTTGTGCAGTGCCTGAAACTCCTAAAGTGTTGCTTTTTCATCATTTCATCATGTCAAAACAGTTGGGGAGGAAAGAGGGTAGGAAAAGGATTTACAAATGGGTGAATGATGAAGTGTCAATATTCTTCTTCCTCCTGCTCCCCTCACCCATTTCCAACAAGGCAATACACATTTATTCCGGTTTTCGGGACTCATCAGATCACATGCTGAGTAGCAGAAAAAGGATGATAAATGAATGCTTTTTAAAGTAGCCTTCTACCTGTTCACACCGTTGCATTCTTGCTAATTATCTTGATATACGCAAAACAGAATAAGGAGTAAATAAAAACAAGACAAAACAAAACCATATAGCATAGATGAAGTGAGGGAAGGATGTATCGGATCTGGACCTGAAATATTATCAGAATTTAAAATGTTTAACAATGTGATCAATTCAAATTTTTAACACATTTTCCCTGAAGGCTGTGATGAAAAGCCAAGCATAGTAAGATACATTTTATTGCCACTTCTTAATGGCTCAAAGTGTTAGAAGTTAAGAAATTGTTCTCTGTCAGCTAAATGTTGGAAGTGCACTTCCTGGGATACCTGGGTCTTATTATTATATGTGGTGGACGCGTGTAGAAGCAAAAGATTACTGGACATACATGGCTGGAAAAGATGATAAAACAGCACATTGATTTAAAACCAGAAATATTTTTGTTGGGGATTTTACCTGAAATTTATAGTAAAGAGAACACATATTTAATCATTCATGTATTAACCGCAGCTAGAATCGTATTTGCACAAAATTAGAAAAGTGAAGAGGTCCCTATTGATGAGAATGTGATTAGGAAAATATTAGAATGTGCAGAAATGAACAAATTAACGCTGGCAATTAAGGAGAAAGAACAAACTGAACATCATATGATATGGGAATTATCAATGGTTAGAGAATAAAAATGGAAGTTGGAAATAAAAGAAGGAGATTAAAGAAGAGTAGAAAATATGTTAAGATAGAGATGTAAACAATATGATAATTGTTATTATTATGATTATTATGCTTAATATTATTATTATATTCTTATTAGAAGATACGTTAAAAGGGAAAAATAAACAAGTTTATTATGCTCAATTGTTCAATATACTATAATCGTAAGATTAGAGAATTAATATAAATGTAATGAATGATGTTGTAAATTCTGATGGTTATTGCACAGAGATATTTGTACCCAGATGACACACTGTTTAAGGGAAGATGGAATGTTTATATTTAAAAAAAAATAAAGACTTTTTTTAAAAAAAGAAATTTGTTCCCAAGCTGGGCTACAAAGGACAGCAGGCAACACTTGTAAGGGCTTAAGAAAAAAATGTTTTATTTGCAATAGAGTCCAAATCAGCCAGTGGACAAGGAAGAATGTATATGGCCACATTGGGTCATTCCTTATCACCTCTCATAGAATTCTAATTGAAAAGTTTAGGCCAATCATTAACAATGAGAGTGTAAAACATTGGCCAATCATATGTTCTGTTCACTTATTTATGCTTTGTTAGCATGGACAGCCCACATGCAATTCTCTCTCTCTTATTTATTATTAGTCACAATGGCTACATAGCAGTGGTGGGTTGCCTCCGGTTCGGACCGGTTCTATAGAACCGGTGGGAGGCTCCGCCGACTGACCTGGACATCATCATAAGTGATTTGCGCATGCACAGAAGCTTCTGCGCAGGCACAATGTGAACCGGTAGTAAAGGTAAGTAGAACCCACCCCTGCTACATAGGTAGTGTCTGCAATAAACAACAATGTCTAAGTCTTCCTTTCACACAATTTTTGCGATATACATATTTAACCATGACAGAGTTAGCCCCGTGGGGTCCTTTGTGCTTTTTGAGCTTGTTTTCTTACATTTTATTACCCAACTAGGTAACATCATCAGCTGGCCCTCTTTTGCAAAACAGCCTCACTGCTGTTCATTACAACCATTTAGCTTCTTATCAGTATTTATACTGCTTTAGATATTATAGTAAATAAATAAATAAAATATTCCAACAAGAAGACTGGCTATTTCTCCATTGAATTTATATAAAGTAAGGAAGAAGGTGATTGGCAATATAGGTAATCCTTGATTTATGACCACAATTGAGCCCAAAACTTCCATTGCTAAGCAAGTCAGTTGTTAAATGAGTTTTACCTCATTTTATGAACTTTCTTGCCACAATTGTTAAGTGAATCACTGCAGTTGTTAAAACACGGTTTGTTAAGTGAATCTGGATTTCCTATTGACTTTTCATGTCAGAGGGTCAGAAAAGATGATCACATGACCCAAAGACATTGCAACCATCATAAATACATGCCGGTTGCTAAGTGTCTGAATTTTGATCACATGACCATGGGAATACTGCAATGGTTGTGTGAAAAATGGTAATAAGTCATATTTTTCAGCACTGTTGTAATTTTGAACAGTTATTAAATGAATGATTGTAATTTGAGGACCGCTTGAATGGGCTAATATCTATTTGATAGCATTGATTTGGGTGAGTAGGTTGGGAGATAAAGTTTCATATGAAGAAAATGCTTAGTTATCTAAAACAGACCAGCCTTTTTGTGTGGGGTTGCCAATTACTAGTAGTAAGTAAGCAAGTAAGCTTTTATTGCGGTCAGAGACCAAATTAAAATAGACAAACAAAGGAAGCATATTTTACAAATATGGATAGATCATGGAACAGTACACCATCTACTGTCTCAAATACAATCTGTACTGTCAATACTAGTGATCCTCTGCTGTCGGGCTTACCCGTCTCTTTTCCCGTTTTTTTCCAGCCACGACTGCAGCAAAATTTTTTGCCACCTTTAGAGTTATATTGGGGTCTGCGTCCTGGAGTAGGAAATAAAGGCTGAACATATCAGGTGAACCAGGGAATTTCTGGGAAATAGGAGAAATGAGTCTTGATCTTATATCCCGGTAGTGGGGATATACGAATGTAATATGGAACAGGGATTCCGGGGATCGGCCGTCACATGTACAATGAATGGATTTTACCCCCCCCCCGAAAGCCTACTGTCGAGGACATTCGAAGGGATCACATTAAATCGTGCCTTCATAAATGCGAGCCTGTGTTTGATAGAGTGTAACGTGGAGAGGTAAGGCGGAGGGTGAGACGAGGGAACAATACCAAGGGAAAACGGTGAGCATGTTCCTGATCCATGTGCCAGATTTAGTTGTCTATCAATGTCGTCCAGCCGTTGAAAGATCAATGATTTGGCAGCATCAGGGCCTAGAATAAAAGCTTCAATGGGGGAAATTCCGATCTTGAAAAGTTTTGTATGGATATTACAGGCCCAGGGACTATGAAAAGGGTCCCGCCATAGGCATTGGCCTAGGTAATAGCCTGGGAGTCTGGTCTACAGGGACAACCAATAGCCAATTGCACGTTTCCACAAGATTGTTGCAAGTGAGGATATGCCCAGTTCCAAACGAATTGCGGTGTTACTTACGCGGGGGGGGGGGGCCCCCATCAGATGGCATAGGAACTGGCTGTGAACAGACTCAAGAGAAGAAATGTTGGATTGGACCCAGAGAGAGGCGCCATAGGTGATAGCAGCTATCACCTTTGCCCTGTAGACTTTTAATGCTGAGGGGATGTGATGAGCTCCTTCAGTATGAAAAAAGTGCAGGAGGGCATGGGTGGAGATCTTAGCCTTATTACAGAGGGACTTAACCTGCGCAGGCCACTTGGTATTGGATTGAAAGAGGATACCCAGATATTGGAATCTGTGGACCTGTTCCACTGGGATGGCATCAAGATTCCATTGGTAGATTTTCCTGCTTCTTGCAAAAATCATGATTTTAGACTTTGAATGGTTTATATGCAATTGGTTAGCAGAGCAATAGGCAGAAAGGATTTTTAAGGCTCTAAGTAGGCCCACCCGGGAAAATGAAAGTATTGCGGCATCGTCAGCGTAGAGCAGGAGCGGACATCTATAATCAGCTAATCTAGGGGCATGGATGTAGACCATGTGATCCAAAAATGCCTTTCTCCAGTCACTGATATATAAATTGAAGAGAAAGGGTGCCAGAATACATCCTTGCCTAACCCCCTTGTTAACGGGGATAGCGTTAGAGAGATCCCCCTGCGGGGTAAGGCGCACTTTTGCTTCTGTTCCGTCGTGCAGTTGGGAGATAAGCCAAAGTAATCTTTTGTCAATACCCCAGGCGGAAAGTTTGGCCCACAGCTTAGCTCTAGGGATGCTGTCGAAGGCAGCCTTTAGGTCTATAAAGGCAATGCAGAGATGACCCTTCCTGGGGGTGGAATATTTTACGGCAAGATGATGAAGGATCAGGGCATGGTCAATTGTAGAATGGTCTGGATGGAACCCCGCCTGCTCATATCCAAGCAGGTCAGCCTCTTCAGCCCAGCACTCCAGTTTGGACAGGAGATAACGGGCATAGAGTTTCCCCAAAATTGAAAGAAGACTGATGTTACGGAAGTTGCTGGGATCGGAATGGACCTTTCTTATGTATTGGGATAATTATGGCATCCTTCCAGAGCTTGGGGATGAGGCCCGTCTGGTTGATCGCATTAAATACCTCAGTGAGAACCGGGGTCCACCAGTCCTTATGGGCTAGAATGGCTTCAGCTGGGATGAGATCTGGGCCGGGAGCTTTTCGAGGTTTGAGTTGTCCGATTAGTTTGGCAATCGTGGATGGTTCCACAGGAGGCCATCTGGGAAGGTGGTTAGGGAAAGAGCCTGAGGTCAAAGAAACTGGCACGTCGGTGTTGTAAAAGACTTGGTGTAGAAAGAGTTCCCATGTGGTGGCAGAGATGGAGAGAGTGAGCCTACTAGTTGGCCTCCTGTTTAACAGACTCCAGAAATCTTGAGGGTTGTTGGATTTCGCGGCCTCTAGTAGTGCATTTCACCTTAGCTGGTGCCAGTCTTGCTTGGCTCTTGAAAGGGCTAGCTTGTATGCCTTCTTGGCCTCGAAATAAGCAGGGGGGGCCATCGATGAACCTGTTCGTTTGTGAGCAGAATATATAAATCTCATATGATTCCTGGCTTGTTTGCACTGTGAGTTAAACCAAGGGGCTCCCTTCCTCCGGGAAACTCTACCAGGGGTAAGAGTGGGGTGCTGAAAGGAGGATATAAGACCGCTTAAACACTCAGTGAAGGCGGTCAGTAACACACCGGGTGTAGCCTTGGTGCCGATTAAGGCTGATAAAGTATTGGCTGCTTCTTGATGATAAAAGCTTGCGTGAAAAAGGGCCAGAGACTTTGACCATTTCTGCAACATTGGGGAGCCTCTGGGATTAGAGTCTATTGAGACAGTGTGAGCAGAATGGTCTTGAGGTCTATATAGCCGTGCAACCGTAATGAGAGGAAGGTGATCGCTGAAAATCCTGTCATCTACTTTGAAGGAGGAAATGTATGGCAAAAAGGCTCTCGAAACCAAGATATAATCTATTGTGCTGTTGCCATTTTTGGCCAAGTGGGTAAATTCCCCGGGGACATCCGGGGCACATCTGCCATTAAGGGGGAAGAGGTCTAGTTTGACGGTAAGAAGAGCTAGACAAGTCCCCACTTTGTCAACTTTCCAATCCTTGGAGACTCTCCCTTTCAAGGTATCCAGGGGGTGGTCATCCCTAGTCGGGCCTGTCCACAATAAGAGGCAACCAGGGTTTCCCAAGTCCCCGCAGTGCGGGCATTTAGATCCCCTGCCAGAAGAACCAGAGAATGAGGGAATCTAAGTGTGATGGTAGCGAGAAAATCTTCCAGACCGGCCCACAGCTCATCCAAGTCCCGGTGAGAGCCCCCAGGAGGAAGATCGATATTAAACACCAGGAGCGAGAGCTTCCTGACGGATATCAAATTTGCCTGGGCATAAGGGGGAAGGGAGTCTACAGGAGTCACGTTTGCATGGCAATTACTAGTAGTGAATCACCCTGAATTTTTAATGATTATTATGTGCACTGATATAAAAGTTGGTATAATTCTATGCAAAGAGGTATTTTTTTTTAACAAAGTTAAAATTCTTTTGGCAGTTTCTCTTGCTTTTGCTGAAGATGTTAGATGGAACTAATATTTCAAAGACAGCAGTGAAAAACAAATTTGAGCTCAAAGTCTGGATTAGATTTGCATGACAGTCTAAAGTTATCCATGCTTGGTGATCTCATGATATTTGTTTTTAAGAATTCAAGAAGCCAATATTCTCACTGAATTTCATTTTAGTCAAACCCCCCCCCCCCACCTTTCCCCAGTTTCTAGGTTGGGATGGCAGGGTTATGATTTAGGGGAAAGGGCATTTGAAGTTTGGGTTACATCTTCTATGTCCTGAGAAAACTAAAGTCCAACTGTCACCATGATAAGAAATAAGATCAGCAATGCTAGTTGTTTGACAAATAAATTCACAACTTCCTTATGAGAGCAGTTGCATAAACAAAGTGATGGCTGATCTAATGAAGGCATGGTGTCATAAGGGATAACTGCACTATAGATCACAGTACTTAGTACTTCACAGTATCTAAGGTTATCATTTACTATTTAGAAGACAGACTTTTTCAATACTAAAGCAATATGGCAAAGCTGCAAGAAAATTAGAAAAGTGAAGAGGTCCCTATTGATGAGAATGTGATTAGGAAAATATTAGAATGTGCAGAAATGAACAGATTAACGCTGGCAATTAAGGAGAAAGAACAAACTGAACATCATATGATATGGGAATTATCAATGGTTAGAGAATAAAAATGGAAGTTGGAAATAAAAGAAGGAGATTAAAGAAGAGTAGAAAATATGTTAAGATAGAGATGTAAACAATATGATAATTGTTATTATTATGATTATTATGCTTAATATTATATTATATTCTTATTAGAAGATACGTTAAAAGGGAAAAATAAACAAGTTTATTATGCTCAATTGTTCAATATACTATAATCGTAAGATTAGAGAATTAATATAAATGTAATGAATGATGTTGTAAATTCTGATGGTTATTGCACAGAGATATTTGTACCCAGATGACACACTGTTTAAGGGAAGATGGAATGTTTATATTTAAAAAAAAATAAAGACTTTTTTTAAAAAAAGAAATTTGTTCCCAAGCTGGGCTACAAAGGACAGCAGGCAACACTTGTAAGGGCTTAAGAAAAAAATGTTTTATTTGCAATAGAGTCCAAATCAGCCAGTGGACAAGGAAGAATGTATATGGCCACATTGGGTCATTCCTTATCACCTCTCATAGAATTCTAATTGAAAAGTTTAGGCCAATCATTAACAATGAGAGTGTAAAACATTGGCCAATCATATGTTCTGTTCACTTATTTATGCTTTGTTAGCATGGACACCCACATGCAATTCTCTCTCTCTTATTTATATTAGTCACAATGGCTACATAGCAGTGGTGGGTTGCCTCCGGTTCAGACCGTTTCTATAGAACCGCGGGAGGCTCCGCCGACTGACCTGGACATCATCATAAGTGATTTGCGCATGCACAGAAGCTTCTGCGCAGGCACAATGCGAACCGGTAGTAAAGGTAAGTAGAACCCACCCCTGCTACATAGGTAGTGTCTGCAATAAACAACAATGTCTAAGTCTTCCTTTCACACAATTTTTGCGATATACATATTTAACCATGACAGAGTTAGCCCCGTGGGGTCCTTTGTGCTTTTTGAGCTTGTTTTCTTACATTTTATTACCCAACTAGGTAACATCATCAGCTGGCCCTCTTTTGCAAAACAGCCTCACTGCTGTTCATTACAACCATTTAGCTTCTTATCAGTATTTATACTGCTTTAGATATTATAGTAAATAAATAAATAAAATATTCCAACAAGAAGACTGGCTATTTCTCCATTGAATTTATATAAAGTAAGGAAGAAGGTGATTGGCAATATAGGTAATCCTTGATTTAT